TCCCCCCGCACCCACTTTTAATTTAATACTACAGCGAATTAGTACTCCAAGAGCACAAGAGAAAGCACAGGGTGGCGGCAAGAACAGCATCAGGCCAGGGATCAGGGTTGGGCTGGCCCCTGCCCTGCTCAGCTAGGCCTCTTAAGCTGCATCCTCAATGACTTGGCTTTTTAATTTCTGCAGTCAGGTTTTGATTGCATAATAATAACAGTACTGAACATTGAGCATTTTACTATGTGTCTACCTGCACATTCTCAATGAATTTTCATAAAATTGTTTCTGAGGCCAGTTATGAAAGACAGTAATGTTCCCAGTTCTTAGTAGGTAGCAAAGTTGGGATTTGAACCCAGGAATTTATTTTGTAGTTCCTGGGTAGTACAAATGGTTATCAAATTTGGTCACTAACCAAAAGGGTGGACCTCCCATCTACTCAGAGCAGACTTGGAAGAAAGGTTCAGCAATCTATTAAGACAGAAATCCAAAGAAACAGTCATTGAAAACCCCATGGTTCATGGTTCTATGGTAACACACAAGGCATCACCCGAAATTGGAGTCAACTTAGTAGCAACCGGTTCCTTTTGTTTCCACTCCACTTTCTCCTTCCAATTCCAAACTTCGATGTCATAGGTATCAAAAGATGCTTAAGAAAGCCGGACTGCCTGGCTCTCTCTCTTGGACACTGTCAGTGCTTGTGTCTGGGAGATGTCCACAGTGGTGGTTTATGTCAGCCCTTTTTCTTATTCATCTTTTTTTCTGTTTTCTCATGTGAATGAATGGCTTCTGAATGATGTTTCATTGTCGCTGTTGTTTGCTAGGGAGTTGATTCTGATTTATGACGACTGAGATACTTAAAGTTTATTGTACCAACCTGTGGCACATGTGGGGTTAATTGAAGGTCGGAGAGATAAATGACTCGGTGAACCTCTTCCTTTGAGTTCTTGGGTCTCTTGCTTTGTGATGGTCGGACCACGGTGCAGCTGCATTAACCAGTTCCCTGCTTTAGCTGGCAAGGCTCACTTCCTGTAAGACATTCCTGAGGAGAAGTCACATGGACCTACCCCGATGCAGCCCTGCGTGCTGGAGCAGCCATGTGGAGACCTCTGCCGGCGCTGAGATGCTTACACGTTCACTGATTCAGCTTACCTCCTGCAGTCGGCGTCATTGTGTGTGTTTTGTGAGATGGAGGACTTTGTGGATTGGAGTTGGACATAAGGGCTAATGTTGGACTTGTGGGCTTGGGCAGCACTGTGTTGGGATGTTTTCTTGATGTGCACTTACCCTTTATATAAAACTCTCTCATATATATGAGTTTCTGTAGATTTGTTTCTCTAAAGTACCCAGACTAACACAGTGACCTCATGAGTGCAGCATATCACAGTTGTACAGTGTTCCCAAGGCTGTAACTGTTTGGAAGCAGATTGCCAGATTTTTTTTTAATACCTTTGGGAAGATATGAATAGCCATTTAACTCTTTGTGTTATGCAGGGACTCCAATTCTTAATGAGTGGAGTGGAAAATACTACAGAGCAGTAGCAGGGCTTGCATTTGTGGGGGCAAGCAGAGAGCCTGAGAGCCTGTCCAGAGGTGAGGTGACCCATGCAATACAGGTGTTTGGCAAAATATGAGAGTAAGGAGAGATCTCAAAGCAAACACTTTTGGTAGATAAGTCAGGTCAAATGAGAGCCAGAAGGTCCGCAGATCTAAAGCTGGAATGCATGTTGCTTCGCTAGTATCTGAAATCACAACCCTCGTTTCAAATAAGTGTCAGAGCAGATGTTTCCATCTCTTGTACCCAGTGTTTGAGAGTGCTCCCTCTTTTGGACCTCTCTGTGCATTTCCTATAGCCTACAGCTCACATAAAGCCCCTCTTCACAAAAATTAGCCTCCCAGATGTTAAGTCCGGTGAAAGAATGCATTTAGGATGCAATTGAGTGGCTCAGCAGTCTCCCCAATTAGCTATCCAAGTCTTTTCTACACCTGGAGGTTGAACTTCGTCAGACATATGCAATTATCATCATGATTCAGCTTCAGCTGAGGCTGATGTGACTTTCTGAAGCTTTTTTTTATTATTGTGAAATATTCTAGTCATGCCTCCTGAAGGCTACAAGAGTGAACTAATAGTCATCTAACCACGTTGGAGACATGATGTTTCAGTGAGCTGGCGCTGAGGAAAGGCTGCATGTCTCGGTGGGAATGACAAGTGAATGAGCCCACTGCTCCCTTACCCTGCTGTTCTTTTCTCTCCTAGGAAACAAATGGAAGACTGCTGTGACCCCGCCCATCTCTTTGCTATGACTAAAATGAATTCTCCCCGGGGGAAGAGCATGTGGTATGATGGGGAGTTTTTATACTCATTCACCATTGACAATTCAACTTATTCGCTCTTCCCACAGGTTAGTATCGCATTTGCTGCCGTTCAAAATAAGTTCTTATATTTTTAAGATTGCATAGAAAAGGAATAATGATTGTGCTTGCCTTCCTAATCAGGGCTGCTTTTGTTCATTTCTTCCTTTTTAATTTTAAATGTTTTTCTTTGTATGTGTCTGTCTTTTTTTTAATGAAGAAATCATACAATGTTTTGATGGAAGTCGGGCACTCTGGAGTTCATTTTCCTGGCCATTTAGTCATGTGAGACTGATGCTAGCAAGTGAAAAAACGGTCAGAGGGTTGTGGAATTCCAGCGTTGGAAGCCTGACTGTGAAGTGATCTTGAGAAATTTTTGCTTTGGAATGTTTTCTTAAGATTGAGGTTGCTCTCAGGGAGAGGGAGCCATATGACCAGAAGTCTGCTTCTTGCCCCTCTTGAAAATTAACCCTATGGCTAGACTACTGCAGTGAATCAGAGTGGGGGATATGGAGGAAATAATTCAACTGGATCACTTTTGAAGTGGTTTCAATCAAGCTTTGCATACTTCGTGTTTTCTTTTCTTGGTGTCCTGAGTATTGAGATCAAATGTTGCATAATCTGTTTAGGCAGCAAGTAGGAAAAGAATGAATCTTTCTTCCAGGGCATCTAGTGAGGGAACGGGGGCAATCGTAGGTGAAATTGCTACTAAAGAGAGAAGCAAGAACTGGGTCTTGGCCCTCCAGCCTTCTAACCACTTGGGGTTTGGCAAGATGGCTATACAGCAGTAGGAGCCAGTGTTAGTTAGAAAGTAGAATTGAACTGTTTGCATGGCTGGATGAAGAGCCAGAGAGTCTTTAAAGGAGAGGTCATAGACATCGGAGGCACACGTTCTACCAGATCCAAAGTCATACTCTATCAAATAGCCAATATTTGATGATTCACCCTTTATTGTGGTCTAACTTAGTGGTGTTAGAGTATAATGATAATATTTTGAGCATAAAAAAGGAAATAGAAGGTTTAGTACATTGACAGCATCTATATGCTCTCTCCTGCTTTGCCCTTGGAGATTCCGTAGTTTCAAAAAATTTTACTAAGAGTCATAAAACATGGGTTTGGATGTATCATCATCTCTTATTAACTAAATGCCTTAGACTAGTGACCTAACTCTCCTGAGACTCACCTTTCTCCCCTGACCTATCCACCTCACAGAATTGTGATGAGGATTAAATGAGGTAATACATATCAGCATACTGTGTAAAATACAAATCATTATCCAAATAATAGGTAATACTGGTGTCCTGATTCATGTACTGTGTCTTCAGACTGAGGAGTGGAGAATACAGTTGAGTTAGTAAGCATGTTTAAAGCAAGAAGCAGAAATCACCCTAGGTATTTTGGTTAGAAACATAAGTCACACAGGGAATTCAAACCCCAACCAAACCCACTATTGTGGAATTGGTGCTAACTAGTAATGACCCTTTCGGATGGAGTAGGGTTTTCAAGGATGTAAACCTTTCCCAAAGCAAACAACCACTTCGCTTTCATACAAAGTGGCTGGTGGGTCCAAATTGCTGACCTTCTGATTGGCAGCTGACCACTTTACTGACTATGCTTAAGAGATCCTTGTAGGAGAGGAAAGTATAAGGAAATAGTGGAAAGAACGAGGAGGCAAAGGGCATTTATAGAGTTCTAAATACAGAGATG